GACTTTTGCTAATAGCTTGTAAGGACTGCTTATCAAACTAATTGGCCTGAAATCTTTAATATTCAAGGTCCCACTCTTTTGTGTATCAAAGAGATAAATGTTGCATTAGTTCTCTCCAACAGTTTGTTCTCGCAAAATTCCTTCTTATCATCTGCATGAAATCTTCCTCCATAAAATGTCAGTAGTGCTTTATAAAATTAAAATTAAAGCCGTCAGGCCCTGTAGCTTTATCTCCACTAATCTTTTTTAGAGCCTCATTTACCCCAGCTACCTCAATCTCCCTCTCCAGCCAGCCTGCTGAGATGTCACTAAGTTTTTTAGATCCAATGTCTCCCAGTGACATCCAACACCAAGACCTACCTGAGCAGTTTCTTATAGAACTCCACCACCATCCTTTGCATTTCTTCCCAGGTCTCAACCACTTCCTCATCCACATGGATCTTTGTAATCAGGTTTCTTCTCCTCCCGCATGCAAAAGCATGGAAAAATGTTGTATTTTTATCTCCTTCTTTCTCAATAAAATCTTTGTTGTTACCAATCAAAAATAGGCATTATGTAATGGATGGTTTATCCCTATTATCCACAGACAATATAATAATAAATTGGCAATTTGTTGCAAGTTCTTCATCAACTAGGAGGAGCATTGTATCCAGTCATCACCACCTTAATATAAACATAATCAAATTAAACCTTTTTTGTTGGTTAATCAAATCAAACTTTGATGGATGCAATTGTTGTGATCCAGGAATCTCAGGTATGGGGAGAGTTTTTGGGAACAATGCTAGACATATTTTAGCTCTATATTCAGGACCCATTGACAGTGAACTTCGTAATGACAGAGTTAACTAGTGAGATCCTCTTAGGGTCTTGGACCAAACTGCTTTTTTATATACTAACCAGTGGCAGTGAGATCCTCTTAGGTCAAATATGAAATACCTAGGTATGTTGGAGCAATTTGGAATATTACCTGAGTGGGTGACCATTGTGATAGGATCAGCCCCTTTGTCAAACGAAGAGAATATCAAGATTAACACTCTCTCTGATGGAATCCTAAAACAGTCAGCAGTGAATTTCAATTGTTTCTGAAATCTCTTTGCAAATGTAGTTATATTTATGATATATTATTTTATTTAATGAAAAAGGTTTGCAAAAGGCTTTAATCCCGAGATCCATCTGAGTAGAAGGTGTGACACTGCATTTAGTAGTTAGGGAAGAGGTCCTTCCCTACGAATAGTGTTTGATCATTTAGGGCTAAGAGGTTGAGAGCAAAAGACCATTACAAGGCTGAAACCCGATGGGCTTTATCTTATGTCAATCCATTATCCTTGGGCTTCATAGGGTGACTGAAACCAAGGATCACTTAGACTTTAATTGTTGGGCCCATACTGAGCCCAATTCAATTGGCTTAGGGATTCACTAAGTTGGATCAGTGAATTCAGCTCATGTGTTTTCTAGCATGAGCTGAACCCAAATGGACTAATATAAGATCTTTGTCGGTCCCACGCCATACATTATTCAAGCCCAATAAGGCTTGCAACAGTTATGCTATTGAACCAGTTAAGTAATAAGCCTTAGCCCATTAACTAGTTAGACTAGTCATGTGCAATGAGTGGAATATGGGTATGGATTTGGATATGGATCTCCATATTATCTAATGTGATTAGGGGTCTAATCAAATCAGATTTGGATAGTCCTGACCACATTAGGATTGGAGTCTATATATATGAGACAAGAGATAGAGTTCAACCAGTACTAGTAATTCACATTCTAGCTCCTTTCTCACTACTCTCTTGCTACCGAAAACCCTAGTTTGTACCAGCCTTGAGAACCATGATTTTCTCTTTGTTTCTATTGTGTTTTCTACTGCAACACATAAGAAATTAAAGTGGTTTCACAGCTGCAAAAATACAAGCTTGTTGGAGAAGTTCAGCTGAGACTAGTTGCAGAATCAGGCGCATCAACTATGTATGCCATCTTCAGTTGGGAGGACAATTTGGGTTTGAATCTTGAACATAGTTGTCAAGGCGGTGCCTAGGCATGTAGGCGCTTTTTTTGGGACTCGCCTCGCCCAAACGCCATATATATATATACCTGTTGTAAGTTTTGCACATTTAATATTTTTTTATATTTTAGGGTTTTTTCAACATTAAGCAATGTCTAGGCGACCAGGCGACTAAGTGCTCACCTGTCGCCTAGGTTCTCTTGGACAAATTGAAAACTATGGGCATGAACCACCACTCTAGGAACTGCACTTTTTGGTCTCCGTATAAAGTCCATTCATATTTAAATTAGAAATAAAATATGGTTTGACCCAATGCTAGATCAATCCTAGGAGAATCTGATTCTCCAAATTCAAAGAATCTAATTCTCAGGTTTGGACTGGATTGAAATTTGGCCAATAAACCCTAGCTGGTTCAACCAACATATTGATGTTAACAGTCCGTTCAACACTTACTTCCTAAGAAAATTAATAGCCAATCAAAAACTCAACATCCTAGAAACTTCCATACTTCTTTACTTCCCTCTCTAGTCTCTAGGTTGGTTTCAGAAATGCAACACTACCTTAAGTTGATTGTCAAATTCAAGATTCTTTCAAATCACTTTATTAAGAGTTGGAAATGTCTAGCTCCTATCTCCCCCTTGTCTTCACTGAATAAAATGATGTCATTTACAAATTGATATCGACCTATAGTTGCTTTTTTTTTTTTTTGATAAGTAGACATATAGTTACTTATGCCCTCCCACCCTCCACCCTTAAGCAATCCAAGCCTATTTGTCATAGAAATTAGCCTACTAAAAGCATCTTCTATTAAGGTAAATGAAAGGGAGATAATGGTCTCCCTTCTCTTGTCCACTTTTAGCTAGGAAAAAGAGGGGCAGCTTTTCCCCTCTATCTAGAATTAGGATTGAGGTCCTAATTCAATAATGAAATGAGTGTGGAGTGTGTGCATCCATTTATCGATTCCCTCCATTTTTCCCCAAATCCACATTTCTCCACAAAATCCAAACATGACCATTGAGTCCACAAAGTCACATACTTTCTGTAGATCCAATTTGCACACCCATCTTTTTTCCACCAAATATCTTCATTTTCTTATATTTGTAATGAATTTAATCAACAATTTGTCTAATAAAAACTCTTGTAATTGTAATACAATGGATGAAAAACCCTCTTTGATCCAAAAGGAGAACATTTCCATAATAATCTTACAGAGGCCACCGACCAAGTTTACTGTCCTATAAACCCTGGGGTGAAATGCTTCTTCTGAATATATTTATAAGGTTAAACTGTCATTTAGTACAATGAAACAGCCTAACAGTCTGGAGGTGGAATGAACAGCCAAACAATCCATGAAGGAGGACCATCCAAGCAAAGCATGGATCAAAGTAATATAGACTGGGATCCAAGTGAAATTGATGCAACTTATGGTTGTGCAGTGTAGATAGGTATTCAAAATCCCACACTGAATTCAAAAAAGGAATCAAATATGAGGTGAGAATGTGACAAGAAT